TGAATGTCTTCCCCTTTCATTAATCCCATTTCCTGTCCCATCCATGCCCATTGGAGATTTGAAATATCTTCTTAAAGATGTTCCTGTGGAGCCCTGAGGAATGTTCTGCTTAGCATTTACACACAATCTCTGCTTGGTCATTGACAGATTGTCTCTCTCCTAAGGGGGTTGCAATTTGGAATGAGTTCCACCTTTCTCTAGGACTCAGTCTGTCTCTAACTGGTACAGCTCAAAGTCCTGCATCATCTCCAGTATAGAAACCAGTTATTAATATATTTCTTGAGTCTGAAGCAAGCAGTGCGTAGCTCAAGTTCCTGAGCGTCAGTACCTCCAATTTAAGAGGTGTCCTTGGTCCAACACCAAGGACACCTCTTAAAGGACACCTTTACCACCTGGTGGTTTGATGACCAATGCCACCATCTCTCACAGTGAAGGCTAGAAATCACATTTAAATTTCAAGACCTTTTCAAGACCTTTTTTTTCTTTCAGAAATGAATAATCAAATGTTTGAACTTTGATTTATAAGACTCTCCTACTAGAGTCAGTTTGGTTTGAAATAATTAGGAACTGAGGTAAAGCCATGGCTAATGTGGGAGATGCTAAAGAATGTTTTGAAATTGATTAGTTGTTTAATGTATTATTTATGTTGGTCAATCTTTCCGGCAGCTGTCACACCCGAATCTGCTCAGCAGCATCCTGGTTGGCGTAGATCCTCCGGGCAATGCCCCTGTTCTCCATGGAGATGCGTTCCAGGAAGTCGTAGTCCACATCGAAGCCAATGCCCAGCGAGAAGAGAGAGAAGTCCTTGGTCATCACTTTTTTCACATTCTTCTGGATCTTGCTGAGCTTGATCTCTCCTGCATAGAGAACCAATGTTAGATCCGATTGGTTCGGATCTTTTTATTGCTTTTTATTTATTATTACCAACAGCAAACCTAAATCATTTTTTCCAGTGGAGTCTTACCTACAGTTGGGTCTCCGTCAGACACCAAGATGATCATAGAGACGGAGCGGGAGTTGATGAAGCCCTGATTAGAGGCCCTCACCAGCATTTGAGCTGCCCTGATCAGCGCCTCGTTGATGTTGGTTCCTGTCAGGAACATGTGTCAGCTAATAAGATCTTCTCTGGTGCTGGCTATACAATCAAACTCTGTTGTACCTCCATTGGGCTTGATGTCCTGGATGTATCTTTTGGCGTCTGTGATCATCACTGAAGAGGCAGGGACCAGGTCCTCATTCCAGCACCGCACATTGTGGTTGAAGTCAATGATACTGAAGCGATCTTCTATTTTTAAGTCATCCAGAATAGCCTTCATGGCTTCCACCGTCTATAAGAGAAACCTTAAAACTGAGTGTGTTCTGGAAAGTCGACACATCGTGGCAGCATTTCACAGGTTGTGTAAAAGGAAGAAGAAGACTGAAGACTTTCAGAGGACGACGTCCATCTGAATGAAAATTGTGACCACCTACCTGCTTCATCTTGACTCCCCACATGGATCCGCTGACGTCAATGACAAAAACAATGTTTTTAGGCAGAGGGGAGAGGTTTGAAGGAGCAAAGAAATGAATGAAATGCAGATCTGAAACCTGAAACAAAGCAGATGTACACACAGAGAGTCACCATCTCTGTTTGGAGACAGTATACAGTCTGCTGGGGAGTAAATATGTGGATACCTGCAGCTCCCCGGCGTTGCTGTCCCTGGTCACATCATAGTTCACAGAAAAGACGCCGTTGATGGCACTGCTTGTGCAGTTCTTACATTTTCTCTGCTGGTTTATATTTGGTTTGAACACAATGTGAGCCTGCAGAGAGAAATCAGCTCATTTTGATCAATAGATTCGCCTTTAATTCTTTAAATAGATAAATATTTGTGAAACAAACGCTCTCATCATTAGGCTTATTTAAACAGAATAAAGCTTCTAGATTGGCACTGGGTCGACCATTTGACAGGAGAAAGAGTTGCTCTCCGTGAACGTCTGTAGAGGCTCAAGGTAGAAGAAAGGCTTAAACTTCATTCATTCATTAGAAATCTATGCAACAACAGACAGCCTGCTTATTATATGGATTCCTACACTCTTTGAGAGATCAGCACTGATGTTCCACTAGACAGGCTTCTCTTGGTCTGAGTCATTGGTCATGCTTCTATAATAATTGTTTTTAATTAATCAGATTTTTTAAATATAATTAATTATCTTTTTTTCTATTGTTTGTTTAAATTTTTTGGCAAGCAAATGACCTATGATTGTTTTATGTCAACAGTTTGTAAATCGGACCCCTGGAAGAGTGGCTGTCAAGCTTATGATAACTAATTGGATTCATAAAATAAATAAAAGTGCATTACGAACTATATCCCATCTATATTTACAATTTCATTCTGTTTAAATTTATCATAGATCATTAATGTTCTTAATCATACAGTCCTAATTAAAGGAGAAGTGCATTCATATTCAGAATTCAAACTTCTGAAAGCACTTTAAATATAAAA